GGTCGGTGCTCAATGCCCAGTATGGCAAAAAAGAAAATAAAATATAAACATCTAGATGTTCAGGCCACAGGACAGATTTAGAAGACTGGAATGGAGGATTTTTGAAATTCAACTAAATAACCACACAGATGTGGAAACTGAGGATGAGACCCTTCAGGGTGAGGCTGGGTGACCAGTTTGCTCAGGCAGCCTCTGTTGAGGCTTGCAGTCCCAGCACAATCATGAATGGCGCCCCTGTCATTGTCAGAAATGTCCCTGTTTGTATGATCAATTATCTGGTGTCCATGGTAACGAGCCTGGGCCAGGTCCCATGGCCACTGTTTCTGTTGACACAGCGCCCTTGGGCAGCGGTGCACGCACACACGCCCCTTTTTTCTTAGTGGCCCTCAGGGGGTGAAGACAGGCTGTCCCCTGGCCTCGTGTCCGCTGGCTCACGTAAGCTGTTTGCAAAGTCACAGCAGCTGAGGTTTAACACGGTGCTTTTGGTGGGGCCAGGTGATCCTGGGAACCTCAGGGTTCTGGTCCCTTTCCAAACCATGGTGGTAGCTGGGGTGGGGTAGCTGAGGCTTCCAGATGAAGCCTTCCACTAGCCTCCCACGGGTCCTCTTCTCCCTTCAGCCAGACCTCACCCACCCCACCCGCCCTAACAAGAGTGGGTTTGTCTAGTCCGAACTGCGCCTCGGAACGGAGCCTGTCGGGTCTCCAATTATCTGAAAATGGCCACACACGCCCTTCACTCAGACACCCTAACTAGCTCTCTGCCTTCTCTGGGCCTTAATTTCCCAAAAGTGGTAGGACAAGCTGATCACAAGCTGGAATATCCTTGACTCGGGAGCAGGGTGCCCAGCCAGGACCCAGGCTGGGAATTGATCCAAGCCAGGCCTGGAGGTGGGGACCCAGCTTCCTGCTATTGTCTTTTAGGCTTCCCCAGCTCACAAGGATCTTGCTAGGGGATGGTGAGGACACAGCTGCCCACAGGGCCACAGGGTCATGGGAGTGACAGGGCGGACAGCTGTGGTTTGAGATGCATCCATGGAGACTGGAGAGCAGAGATTAGCTGCTGGGGTGGGAACGTTGGCTGCCCAGCTCCCAACCCTGAACTTGGGGCCCCAATTACCTACCACTGAGCTGCCCAGAAAAACAGAAAAAGAAAGGATGTTTTGAGAAGGAACAAGAAGGCGGGAGGCTCCAGCCTGTCCCAGCTGGGGTCCCACCCACTACCCTATTTCCTGGAGGATCATGGGCCGGCCCTTGTGGTGGGCGGCGGGTAAATGTGTCTGCTGTGGGGCTGTAGTGACAAAGAGTCTCAACTCACAACAGAGTCAGGGTTTGAGGTCTGCTGTGTCCCTAACTCACCTAAGTCACTCAAGGTGACTCAACCTTTCTGAGCCTTGGTTTCCCCACCTGCAAAATTGGGGCTGTCTGGCTTCTCCCCTGGGAGGATTCAGGCTGAGCATGCATACAGTAGGTGCCTCAGAAATGGTCTCAGGGCACCACACCCAGCCCTTAACTGTCATAGCCCCAACCTCACCGCCTCACAGAAAGAGAAACTGAGGCTAGAAGACCAGAGACTTGCTGGTCTCTGTTAGAAAGGGTCGGGAGCATGCTGGCTTGGGAGTGACAGTTGTGTCTGCCCAGAGCGGTGGGGAGGACCTGGATGGAAGGGATATCCTGGCTGCCTGCAGGCTGCATGATAACCCTTATCTAACAGCCTCTTGCCTGCCTGTTCTCTCTGTGCACAAAGACCTCAGGCAGAACTGGCTTTTCAGAGCCTTGGGCCAGAGTCCCAGCCAGGTGCCCCTGTTCTGACCCCAAGGGAGTGGCTTCCACCAGAAGCCAGACAAATTGATTTGGCATTCAAAGCCTCTTTCCTAGGAACAATCAACAAACGAGAAATGGGTCCTGGGCATCTGGGGACAAGTTGGATGGGCCTAAATGTCCCTCCCGTCATGTCTGGAGACACTGGAGCAAGACTAGAAAGAACAACCAGCATTACAGTGCACTGCCTCATGCCAGGCTCTTCTCCCTTAGCCTTCCACTGTGAGTGCTGCTCAGATGATGAAACTCAGGCTTAGAGAGGCTAAGTGACTTGTCCAATGTCACACAGCAGGTAGGCAGCCCAGACCACTCAGGGGTTAAAGCCAGCTGGACTTTCTCCATCACCCACACCTGATTTAGGCCTGAGCTCAGAGGCTAGATGGGTTTGTTTGGATTCCAGAAAGCGGTTGATAAGAGATTGGAAAGTTGTTTTGGTGTGGGAAAGAGCAGTCAGAGTCTTGGTGGAGGTTGGGAGCATAAAGCTGTCCCCCAAAGCTGGTGCTGACAGCTTCTCAGGAGCTCAGATGTCCAAGAGCACAGCCTTGTTTATAAGGCTAGGTGGCCTGGGTGACGCTCCCACTTCACTCTCTGGGCCTCAGTTTCCTCATCTGTAAAATGGGGAATCTCCCAGGGTGCAAAGAGATGTGCAGTCATCTGTCCTGTGTCCATCAGGGGACAGGGGATCCCTGGACTGGTCAATGAGAGAAGCAGAGGAGGACTCACCGGTCACAGCGCTGAAGGTGAGGGTGTCCACACTGGCTTCATAGCCTCGGCCCTCGAAGTGCAGCGTCAGCCAGAAGGGCTGGCCCCGCCGCAACACCAGCCTCTCCCGGCACAGGTCGGCCGTGCGGTGGTCTCGGCCATTGACCTCTAGCTGCAAGTCACATCTCTCCAGGACCAGATCTGTGGAGGTGGGGACAGCAGGAGAAGGTGAATGGTGACGGCATCTCTCGGTGGGCTGTGATGCCCAGTGACATGCCGGTACACGGGGACATGGGAGCAGCCCTTGCCAGCAATGGTGAGCCTCTCTGCACCGGCCCTACAGACCCCTCACCCACCCATGACACACAGGGGCTGGCTGGCCTACAGCGGCCTGATTTTCTTAAGCACAGGGTATGCCCACTGTAGAAGGTTCTGCTGACTCGCAGCTGCGTGGCCTCCAGCAACTCAGTTTTTCTGTGCCTCAGTTTCCTCATCCATCCCCAAGGTGGGGCATGGCTCCCCAAAGGGCAGCTGTTGTGAGTATTAAAGGAATCAGTGCCTGTGGCGCCCAGCACAGAGCCTGGTTCTGCAGCAACATGAGCTTGTCCACCACTTAGGGTGGGGGGGCAGGTTTCAGTCAGGCAGTATATGGTGTAGAATTACATGGTGTTTGAAGCTGGGTCCCACTTTCAATTTACTGGAAATCCCCAGGACTGTGGATCCTACTGAGCAAAGTACCAGGAAAGAGTCGACAAAATTTATACTCTGGGAAACTATAGGCAAAGGATTAAGAGGTTTCTTTAAAAAAAAAAATTGCAAGAAAAGAAAAAATTTAAAGGAGTCTCTCTAAAGAGAAAGTGAAGAGACATTTCAACCCATTGTGATGTGCAGCTTTTACTAGGATCTGGATTTTGCAATACTAGTTAGGAGCATTCAGTACATGTCAGAGACAACTGGAAATTTAAACACTGATGGAATAATGGTGATATCAAAGAATTTTGTTAATTTGTTTATATCTACAAACGAGAGCATTCTTTAAAGACACACACTGAAATATTTACAGATAATATGAAAATGAGGTCTGGGATTTGTTCCTAATAATAGGAAGGGGCTGGAGGCAGGAATCATCATGGACTGGTGATCAGGACTCAGTGATGAGAACATAGGGATTTGTTATACTATTCTCTCCACTTTTATGTACATTTATATTCCCTGTAATGAAAAGTTTTTAAACAACAGCAGTTTTGGTGTCTTCTGGTCCTGGGTTTCAGTTCTGCTGTGCTGCTGTGTGATCCTGGACAAGTGTTTCTCCCTCCCTGTGCCTGCTTCTTCAAAGCCTCCAAGGGCTTCTGTGAGTCTAGGAGAGAAAGTTTGGCCCAGCCCAGGGCAGGAGTATGATATGGGAAAGTGCTAATTACAGCTCCAGAGGGCACTAAGCAGAGGGGCAGGCACAAGGTGACAGGTAGGTGGGGACCTGAGGGAAGCACAAGTCTCATAAACATGGGGAAGCCCAAGGCCAAGACTGGGGAGCCCTTGGGGGAGGGCAAGGCAGACATCAGAGTTGTGAGGCCAGTGGAGGGCATGAGGTCCAACTGAGGCCGAGGGACAGGGACTGCCTGTTATCTGCCTAAGACATCCCCAAAGTGAGGGCCACCAAAGTTACCTGTGACAGCCAAGAGCTTCCTCGTGCGCCCCCTCAACTGAAGCAGCACAGTGACTCTGCTCCCACAGCTACCGACTGTGCCCGTTTTTGCAGAGGGAGATGCTAGGTGGCTGCTTTGGGGCTTGAAGTAGGGTTGCAGGATTCTGGCTGCTGCCCGGCAACTACCTCTCTGCAGCTCAGGCTGCTTCTCCAGGGCTCCTCCCATCACCCTGCCTTCCCATTTCTGGGCTGTTCCCGGCCTGGGAAAACACCGTCCTGCTCATCCAAAGCAGCAGGGAGGTGGACTGCACTGTAATCACAGCAGAAGAGACCTCGGTGGGCCTCCAAGAGGAACTTCCTGCTGGCCTGCCAGGGTGATGAAGCGCTGTCTGAAAATTTTAGCTTGAGACTCAGGCAGAAAAGAGATCACTGGTTCCCCAGCAGACTTTGAGGATGGCCAATCTCTGGTCTGGGGAGCTGGGGTACATTCTCAGTCCTGCCTGAAGAAGAGTCTGCAGAAATCATTTGAGCTCCAAAGCTTCCAAAGAAGCCCAGAGTCCAGAATCCTAGGACAATAGAACTTCTGCACTGACAAACGACCAGGGTATTCCAGGCCAGGGGACCCCTGTGGGAAGGAGCTGCTGTGGCAGTGGGGCGGGGAGCCCACCATAACTTGCATCTACAGGACCCCTGGCCTCACTGAGCCCTGCTTCCGGGGATAGGGATCAAGTGACACCAAGGTGACCCACCACAATGTGTTAGGGAACTCGTTCTCTGAGTAGAGAGTGGCCGAGATCAACCCCCCCCCCCATCCCCCTGCCTTGGAGCTGCAGTGTAGGCAGAGGCCAGTCCCGAGTGGACAGGGCCCAAAAGCCAGCTGGGATGCTGGGCCCAGCAGCACTGGTTTACGCACATGCTCTATCCTAGAAGTCCCTTGCTCTGGGCCCTAAACAGTCCTGTCACTGGGGGTAAGGGGGTGTAGGAAATTAACTAAGCATCTCCTCCATACCTTTCAGCCCTCCTCCCAGGTGTACTAAGGTCTAGCACTACTGCCTGTAGTTTACAGGAGGGGAAACTGAGTCTCAACTGGTGCCCAAGTTTGAGGTTATAGAACTTGAGGGCTGGACTGGCCCTAAAAGAACACATCTGATCTCAGCCTCCTCCCACCAGGATGCTGGAGCCAGGCTGACCTTGCCACACCCAAGGGAGCATACACACCTTCTCCCAGCCAGCAGGGTCCAACCAAAGCCAAGTGTTCTGAGGCCAGGCAGCACCCAGACCACTTTAAACCCTGGGGCACCACCGCAGGGAGCCAGCTTCCACCAGCCAGTGGTCTGTGGGGACCAGTACTTTATAGTTTACAATACAGCTTCACATTTCATTTCCTCACCTGATCCAGGGAGCAGGGCTAGTCATTATGCCCCGGGAATGGGGAAACTGAGGACCCCAACAGCTCTAGGCCTGGAAGCCAGGTGCCCCTGCTCAGCCCGGCCCAACTCAGCCCAGCCCACCTGCTGCTCTCCAAATCCCAGACTTGGGTTGTGCCCCAGAGGAAAGACAGAGACCAGAAGGGCAAGGGCGAGCCCGGCCGGGAGCGGCGGCACGGACTCTGACACTCACCCTCGGCCATGGTGGGGCCAAGTTCCGCTCTGCTCCTGGCTGCGGCTCCTCGAGGAGGTGGCCACCGTGCAGTGCTGACCACTGACGTGCGGCTGGGCTGAGACCTGAACTTATAGCCCGCTGGGGGATGAGCCGGGGCGGGGCGGGGCGGGGCGGGGCGGTAGGAAGGCGGGAAGGTCCGGCGGGTGAGGCCACCGAGGCCTGGCGCCCGAGCTCACGAAGGGGA